CCCAAGTGCACACCATAGCACAACACATCATCCTGGTTTCTGAGGTTTCAATCTGTTAGTACCACTGCACACTTTGGCACACACAGTATAACCCAGGTGCACACCAGCTTCAGTTTCGTCTTTGGCAGTATGTGTTGCTCTTAGTCTATACATCATAGCACGACAATTTTTCCGAAAGTGCACACCGAAAGGTATAACATCATCATGGTTTCTTTGGATTTGAACTCTCAATTTTTTTTTTTTTTTTGCACATTATGACACATACAGATAAACCTAAGTGCACACCTATACTATCAGATTGCATATTTGAAGATTCATTGACAAACCTGTTCAGTGACCAACAATCGGGATTTGATTTCATCGATAATGTATTTTCTGATTTTGAGGCTGCTTATGCAATACGTTAACTAAAAAAATAAGTTGATAATAGTGTGTCAAAACATTAGTTGGTGACTTGGTATTAGTGGGCGGCGTTGGCACAATGGAATGGACGTTTAGAAGTAGGACACAATTATACGGATGCAGATTCATATGAAGCCAAACAACACTATAGTAAATATATGGATAATATTTGAATTCCACTCAAAAATTAACGTTAATATTATTTAAATATTATATAATTTAAGTTCCACTACAAATCATACGAATGCCCACAGATTCATAATCAATAGGACTCCTTTCTTATCTTGTCATCCTAAAATCTTGGAAAGAATCTAATTATAATATTTGATTTTAATCTTGGTAATTGGATTAAATTACACTAATACCCTTTCTAATTAATTATGTTTAAAATGCACATAGAAATATTTAATTATCTAGACCATTGATTAAGCAAATTTGAATGGATCAGATTAGTTCTTAGGTTCCTACCTAACAAAGGGTTCTTACTTGAAGCCTCCCCTATACATATATATATATATATATATATATATATATATATATATATATATATATATATATATATATACACTTAGCATTTTAATTTTTTAAATTATTATTTAGTTTTTAAATTTTTTATTATTAAAAATTATAATTATTTAACATTTTGACTCGGAATTGACGGGGAATGGGGAATCCCCGTCCCCGCCTAATTCCCCGCGGGGACGGGGACGGGGAATATTTCCAAATCCCCGCCGGGGACGGGGACGGGGACGGGGATGAGGACAAAGATAATTGCTCCTTTAAAATGTTTTGCATACTATCATTACTAGATGCATTGTCTAACGTCAAAGAGAACACCTTTCTTTCAATTCCCCAATCCTTAAAAAATTGAAATATTTTTGCAGCTAATTCACAACCTGTGTGTGGTGGAGGCGTCTTAGCAAAACAAAGTATCTTGCTATTCAATTTCCAATTCACATCAACAAAGTGCCCAGTTAAGCAAATATATCCCTCACTAGTGCATGCAGTCCATACATCAGAAGTTAAACAAATTCTATTTTTGATATTTGCCAACACTTGTTTAAGCTTCTCTTTTTCTTGAAAGTAGATCTTAGTAATGTCATACACAAGTGTGTTTCTAGAGATACAAGGCACATCGGGATTCAAATACTTCTGCCATTTTCTAATACCATCATATTCAACAAATGAAAATGGTAAATCATGTTTGATGACTGCAGAAGCTAACAACTCCCTAGCAACATTTGGATCTACTTTCCTAGATTCAAGTTTGCCTTCATGATTAACAAACATTTGTCCAACATCATGAAACTTTAACATCCTACATGTTTCTTTGTGTCTCTTTAATGAAGAAGTTCCATGTTCCCCCCCCCCCCCCCCCCCCCCCCCCCCCCCCCCCCCCCAGCTTTAAATTCTTTTGAACAACCATTGCATTTTGCCCTTGGAATACCATCTTCACCAGTTGGAAGCTTTTTAAAATAAATCCACACATCAGAGGTAAGTTGTTTAGACTTACCTTTCTTTGTAGAACTATCCATTCCTGGCATTCCATCAACATTATCATCGTCAATGGTATGAGTTGTTTGGTCCGCATTAGTTTGGTTCAAAGACATAGAATCCATCACGAATCACGAGCAATCTGAGTAGACGGAACAGTACACATAAAATCAGTAATTATATATTTATATACACATTGAATGGCTTAAATGCTTAATGCCTTAATACAATGTACCATTATCATTATAGTGATTTAGTGAATGACTTAATGATTATATATTAGTAAATTATCATTATCAATACAAATTACAATGTCTAAATTCTGTATTTCTTTTTAAAACTCTAAATTATTATTATATACATTATTATTTGTTATATACAGTACATATATTATATATAGTATAACAGTAATCAAAGCTTCAAAGGAATGAATGATTCATTAAGCATTTAAGCCATTCTTCATAAAAGGGAATGAAAATATACAGTAAATCAGTAATCAAAGATTCAAACTTTATATAGTAAAAAAAAAAAAGAAACAATGACTTTCCTTAAGATGAAGGAATAGAATAGAAGGGACTTAGACACATGCAATACATAAAGTTTGAATCAGTAAAGTTATTCAAGATTTTAAAGGGAATGAAAAAAAATACCTGGAGACTGGAGTTTGCAGACCTGGACAGTGAAGACTGAAGACGGGCGTCGTTGGCCGTAGCTGAACGCCTGAGCGGTGGACTCGCGGTGGCGTCCGCCGCGTCGCCGGTGACTCGTGGGCCGCCGGACGCTGGAGTCTCCGGTCTGGTCTTGGACACTCGCGGTGGAATCGCAAGTCGGCAAGTCTCCGGTCTGATTCGCACTTCGCAGAAACGATTAGGGACTTAGGGTTTTTATTTTTAGATATTAGTAATTATACTAACTAATATTAAATATTTAGAATTAAAAAAAATAATAATACTAGCGGGCTGGCGGGCTAGCCCGCTCCGCCAAGCCCGTGGGCTAGGCGGGGCGGGTAAAAAAGCCCGTTTTTAATACGGCATTCTAAACTACGAGCCCGGCCCGCCCTTTTGGCGGGACGGGGCGGGAAAGCCCGACGGGCTAAGCCCATTTTGACGGCTCTACTTCCTACCGCCGGTGTTTCCGCCCGCCATCTTGATCCCTCTGCTCCCCGCGGCATACGTGCTAAGATTTCTAAGGCCGAACTTGATTGTCTGGACAGTTGGTTGGGCCCAAATGTTGAAATTACCGTGCCCGGGGAGGACCGGACCATGACCGATCCCCCATCGGCCGATAAGGTGGCCGTGCATTATCACTCAATCCAGGCAGGCCTTCAGTTTCCCCCTCATCCTCTGGTCCAAACGTTCCTTGAATGCCATGGGATAGCGCCCTGTCAAATGACTCCGAATGGTTATCGCTTTATCACCTGTTTTATCACCCGGTGTCGAGAAGTCCAGGTAGCACCTTCCCTGTCTTTACTTCTACATGTTTTCAATGTGAGCCAGAGTGGGTCATCTTTCCTCCACCTTCAACCTGTCTCTAATCACCCCCTCGTGACCTCCCTACCCTCTCTTCCAAAAAATTGGAAAGAGAAGTTTGTATACCTTTGTTATCCCACTGGTGATTCTGGGCTGGGGTTTAGTAACGTGTGGGTGCAGCGCCCTCCTCTCTATACGCCCCGCGGATATTCGGCTCTGGATGATGACAGGACGCGACTGTGCGCTGATGGTCCCCATGATCACCGTAGGTACCACGAGCCATCTCGGCTCCACCAACTTAGCACCGGTCCGCCTCTAGCTACGTTTATATATATATATATATATATATATATATATATATATATATATATATATATATATATATATATATATATATATATATATATATATATCTTTTTTTTTTGGGACGTACATATCTGTTTTTTTTTTTTTTTTTTTTTTTTTTTTTTTTACGTACTGATGGTTGTATCCGCTGCAATGTTGCAAAAATCGCGCCTAGGTGTCATTGCGCCGCCGCGAGGAACGGCCTCCGCGGCCGGCTAGGCGGTCTAGGCAGCCGCCTAGACCGCCTAACCGACCGGTTCGGCGGTTCGGCGGTTTTTTTTTTTTTTTTTTTTTTTTGAAAATGTCGGAAAAGTTTCGGAAGGCATAACTTTTGACTCGGTTGGTCCACTAATTTCTCAAAAAAATGCTTCTTTAGCTCTTAATTTTAGTTTTTTATGTATTTAGATGGTTTAAACAATCATTTGAACACTTTTACAACCACTTTCGTAAATAATTTCTAAGAAATAACTATAGAAACCTTATGTTTTATTACTAAATTTTAAAAATTTTAAATTTTAAATTTTATTTTTAATTAAAAAAAATAAATAAATAATAAAAATAAAAATAAAAAATCGGCGCCTAGGCACCCCCTTGGCGCCTAGGGGGCGCCTAGCGTGTTTTGCAACATTGATCCGCTGTGCCCAGCTCCCGTGGAGAGTACTCCCCAAATGCTCAAGGCTTACCAGACTCGTAAGCGACGGTGGGCTCCTAGTTCGGAAGCCGTTTCTGGTGATGATGCTGCTGAGGATGACGATGACGGGGCATCGTCGGTGGGACTTATGGATGACCCTGTCACGGACGGGGTGGATTCCAACATACCATTTTTGCCTGCCCATTTCTCCCCCGTCACTCCTTTGCAAGCTGTGGACTCGCCTTCTCGTGGGCCCTCTCTAGCCGCACCGCAGGCTACGCCTGGCCCTACCAGTGAGTATGATGCTCGGGATCCTCTACCTGCTCGGATTTCGACCGGCCCGGGCCGCCCTCGTCTTCGTCCTTACGATCCTGATCATGCGGACTTCATTGTTCGTGGAGTGCGAGATATGGTACCAGCCCATCGACGCTTCTGGATTGATAGTACACCGATGGAGACCTTGAGTTCCCGCCAAGTTGGAGATTTCATGAACGTGAGTGGTCCCTCTCCTTTTTATTTTTATTTTTATTTTTATTTTTATTTTTTTTTATTTTTTAATGTGTGTATCCTGTGGTTCCCTACTGTATGCAGATGATTATGCAATCCATCGGGCTTCATCAGCACCTGCAGGAGGCCTCTCGAGAGTATGCCGAGTTAGAAAAGACACAACAGGGTTTGGAGCATACTCTCCGGGAAGAGGAGGAGGCTCATAGGCGCGTCATGAGAGAATTAAAAACCTTGAGGGAAGTGCACCAGACCCTGCAGCAAGAGCATCAGGCCTTGGGAGATAAGCAACAGGCCCTCTGGGAGGATCACCGGATTCTGGGGGAAAAGCACCAGGTCCTCCAGGAGGAACATAGAACTTTTGGAAAGGAGCATCAGGTCCTTCAGGAGAAACATAAATCTTTGGGGGAAGAGCACCAGGTCTTGCAGGGAGAACACAAAACTTTGCAGGAGGAACATAAAAGACAACGGCTAGATCATGACAAGGCCCTTGAGGGTTCCGTGGAGGACTGGCAAAGGACTGAAGATTTTGCGCGTGCTGCTAGTGAATATTCGTGCGCACGTATGCCTGGGCTAATCCGCTGGTGGTTGGGGCATTCGGATCGTTCTGGCGAAGGCATGGTCGAGGCCATGTTAGGGTGGCAGTCTGTGCAGGAGTACCAGGATTATACGGGCCCTCCACTGGTACAAGTCCTCCAAGAATGGGCCACTACCCCCGGGGGCAGGGCGGCCATGGGGCCGGTAGCGGAGGTGTGGTTGCGCGAGACGCTAGAAGGTCAAACCAGGTTGGTGCAGGAATGCAATGCGGCGTTTTACATGGGGCAACGAGATATGTAGGATAAGCTTTACGGGAAGCTGGAACGTCGATTTACCTCTTTCAGTATTGAAGGGTGGAAACTGCCAGGCGTCCTTCCTCTTCGACCTACTCGAGCTCGGGCCACTCCTTCGTCTACTACGCCCGCTGGCGGCGATGTGCTTATGACTCCCGAGGCGGCCCAACATGGTGTGACGTCGTCTGTTGCGGCTCCCTCGGAACCTGTGGCCGGATCTGGTATTGTCGGGAGTGTAGACCCTTTCGATCTTCATCTCACTATCAACTCAGGCTCTGGATTTTCCAGCTCGGCTGCTGCTTCTGCAGCCCCATAGTCTTTAGGCGTAGGTAGCGGTTTTTTTTTTTTTTTTTTTTTTTTTTTTTTTTTTTTGTAATTTCGAATATTTCGGCAACCTTAATAATCTAGTGGTAATCTAGTTTCGTTCCTTTTTTTTTTTTTTTTGCCATGCAATATGCCGCCAACTGCATGCGACTTGCTGGGGGCAAGTCCGCGCATGTGGGTTGCGATAACCCACATGCCCCATCCGCCGATTGCATGCGGCTTGCCGGGAGCAAGGCCGCGCATGTGGGTTGCGATAACCCACATGCCCCATCCGCCAACTGCATGCGGCTTGCCGGGGGCAAGTCCGCGCATGTGGGTTGCGATAACCCACATGCCCCATCCGCCGATTGCATGCGGCTTGCCGGGAGCAAGGCCGCGCATGTGGGTTGCGATAACCCACATGCCCCATCCGCCAACTGCATGCGGCTTGCCGGGGGCAAGTCCGCGCATGTGGGTTGCGATGACCCACATGGCCCTTCCGCCAACTGCATGCGGCTTGCCGGGGGCAAGTCCGCGCATGTGGGTTGCGATAACCCACATGCTCCATTCGCCAACTGCATGCGGCTTACCGGGGGCAAGTCCGCGCATGTGGGTTGCGATAACCCACATGCCCCATTCGCCAACTGCATGCGGCTTGCCGGGGGCAAGTCCGCGCATGTGGGTTGCGATAACCCACATGCCCCATCCGCCAACTGCATGCGGCTTACCGGGGGCAAGTCCGCACATGTGGGTTGCGATAACCCACATGCCCCATCCGCCAACTGCATGCGGCTTGCCGGGGGCAAGTCCGCGCATGTGGGTTACGATAACCCACATGCCCCATCCGCCAACTGCATGCGGCTTGCCGGGGGCAAGTCCGCGCATATGGGTTGCGATAACCCACATGCCCCATCCGCCAACTGCATGTGGCTTGCCAGGTGCAAGTCCGCGCATGTGGGTTTCGATAACCCACATGCCCCATCCGCCAGATGTTTGTAACACTCAATGCAATGTGTGAAAATCACGGATATTATTAACATGCGACACAATGTCGTCTACAAGGGAAATATAAGTCACTTACGATGCAACATACCACGGTAATGCCATGGGAGTCGCGTTATTTGTCATTCCTCGAGCTACTCTATTTACTGAAAGAACCTTCGCAGGTGGTGGGCGTTCCATACGCGGTCCACGGTCCTACCCTGCATTGTTTTGAGTTTGTAAGTGATTTTGTGCACAGACTCCGCCACTTCGTACGGCCCCTCCCAATTCTTGGCCAGCTTGCCTCCCTGAAGTGGTTTGCTGGCTTCTCGTCGTCGTAGGACTAGGTCGCCGACCTGGAAATTGCGGGGGCATGTCCTTGCGTCGTGGTAGCGTTTAATTGCTTGTTGATAAATAGCAATCTTTCGTCCGGCTTCCTCCCTCCTTTCCTGTAGGAAATTTAGTTCAACCCGCAAGTCCTCATCATTCCGGCCAGGTTGGAATCGGGTGCTCCTACTCGCGGGGGTTGTCACTTCTACTGGTATCCGTGCTTCGCACCCGTATGTGAGGGCGAACGGGGTATCTCCTGTTGCCTTTCGGGGGGTTGTTCTGTAGGCCCATAATATGGACGGTAGTTCCTCGTACCAGGTGGATCCTGTTGCTTCGACTCTTTTCTTAATTCCGTCGATGATGGTGCGATTGGCGTTCTCTACCTGACCGTTAGCTTGGGGATACGCCACGGCGACCTTGATATGCTCCACTCCGTAATAAGCGCAGAAATGAGCAAAATCTTGGTTGTCAAACTATTTGCCGTTGTCGGACACAATTTGCTGGGGTAACCCAAATCTCGTGAAGATATTTTTCCATACAAATTTTCGGCACTGGGTCCCTGTGATGGAAGCAAGGGGTTCTGCTTCTACCCACTTGGTGAAATAGTCTATGGCCACGATCAAGAACTTCAGGCCTCCCACCCTTTTGGGAAAAGGACCTGCCAAGTCGATGCCCCAGCGCGCGAATGGGATGGCTGAGGTGACCGGGGTGTAATAAGAGGCGGGCTTGCCGGGTAGAATCGCGAATTGCTGGCATGTAGGGCACTTCCTCACGTAGTCTTGGCAATCGGATCTAATGCGGGGCCAGTAATACCCTTGCAAGATAATTTTCCTGGCCAGGGTTTGGGCGCCCTGGTGTGCGGCGCACACTCCTTCGTGGACTTCCGCTATGACTTTGTCGGCTTCTGCTCTGGTTAAGCATCGGAGCATGGGCCTTCCAAAGGATAGTTTGAATAGTCTTCCTTCCACCATCCGGTAAGACGGGGCCATGGACACTATTTTCCGTGCTCTTTGGGGTTCGTGGGGCGCGAGACTTTGTTCCTTGTAACGGATCATCTCCTGCATCCATTCATCCGGGGATGGTATTACAGCTAGGACCTCATCCTTACCTATGCTGGGTGCATCGATGTCGATTGTCCGGGCTATCTTAGACACATAACTTAGGTGGTCTTCGACACCTTGAGCCACACGGGACAGAAGGTCTGCCTCGCCGTTGTCTGTCCTCGGAATTTGGGCTAGTTCCCACCGCTCTACGGATGCCAATAGTCTTTGGACTACATCTCGGTATTGCCGCATCCTGTCTTCCCGTGCTTCGAACTGATTGTTGACGTGGCCCACGACCAGTCGTGAGTCTGACCGAATCTTGAGGTTGCGTGCTTGCAGGGCCTGGGCCAACCTCAGGCCCCCGATCAATGCCTCATATTCAGCTTCGTTGTTGGAGAGAGGGAAGCAGAATCTAAGGGCTTGGTAGGCCCTGAATCCTTCCGGCGAGATGAGCACGACGCCCCCGCCACAACCCTTTTTACTTGAGGCGCCATCGGTATACATTTCCCACTCTCCTGCGCCTTCTTCAGTCTGTCCTTCCTGGCGCTCCGGGATGGTGCACTCCACGATGAAGTCAACGAGGGCTTGACCTTTGATAGCTGTGCGGGGGAGGTACTCGAGGCTATACTGGGGGAGTTCGACCGCCCACTTCACCATGCGGCCTGACGAGACTGGGCTTCTCAGGATGGTGCCCAGGGGCTGGTCTGTCAGGACGATTACGTGGTGTGCTTAGAAATAGTATACCAGTTTTCGGACCGTTCTCACGAGGGCGTATACTATTTTTTCAAGCGGGGTGTACCTGAGCTCGGCGTCATGCAGGGCCCTGCTAACGTAATAGATAGGTTTCTGGATGCCTGTTTCCTCTCTGAGTAGCACCGAGCTAATGGCCGCGGGTGCCACCCCCAGGTATACATACAATGTCTCCCTTCTCTCCGGTTTGGAAAGGACTGGTGCCGCGGACAAATATGCCTTAAACTGATCGAAGGCCTCCTGGCATTCCGGGGTCCAGGTGAAGCCACTCCTTTGCTTCATGATCTGGAAGAATGGGAGGAACTTCTCCGCAAGCTTGGACATGAATCTGTTCAAGGCGGCCAGCCGGCCGTTGAGTCTCTGGACATCTTTTATCGATGTGGAGGGTTGCATCTTGAGAATGTTCTGTGCCTTTTCGGGGTTGACCTCTATCCCCCGGTGAGTAACCATGAACCCTAGGAATTTTCCCCCCGTCACCGCGAACACGCATTTCTTCGGGTTCAGGCGTAGGTTCTTCTGCATCATAATCTCAAAGCACTGGGTCAGATACGCTGGGTGGGTACCGGCATCCTTGCTTTTGACCAGCATATCGTCCACGTATGCCTCCATTATGTTTCCCAGGAGGTCCTTGAATATTTCTGCTACCATGCGGGTAAATGTGGCCCCGGAATTTTTTAAACCGAACGCCATGACCCGATAACAATATATCCCATCCGGGGTCACGAACGCTGTTTTCTCTTCGTCTTCTTCTGCCATGAAGATCTGGTGGTATCCTTTGAACGCATCCATAAAACTCAGCAGTTCACATCCCGATGTCTCGTCTACCAATTGATCCGTATGGGGCAAAGGGAAAGGATCTTGGGGGCATGCCTTGTTTAGATCCATGTAGTCCACGCACATGCGCCATGTGGGCGGCTTTGGGGCTAGGACCACATTGGCCAGCCACGCCGGATACATTGCCTTCCGTATATGTCTTATCGCTAGGAGCGTGTCTACCTCTGTCTTCACGAATGCCCTCCTCTCAACCGACAAGTGTCGTCTCTTCTGCTTAACGGGTTTAAAACTGGGATCTACTGCCAGTCTGTGCGATATGATGGAGCGATCGATCCCAGGCATGTCTTCGGGACCCCACGCGAATATCATCGAGTATTCGCGCAAAACGGCAATGACCTGTTCCCGCAGTCCCGGGGCAAGGCCCTTGCCTATCCTGACGCACTTGTCTGGTCGACTAGGGTCCAGGGGGATCTCCTCTAACTCCACGGCTGGCTCGGGCCCCACCTTTTTCTCCCTCTCGGCCTCCTTCTCCACTGTATGGACAAGTAATTCTTCCGTCAGCATTCCCTCACATGCCGTCTCATAGCACTTCTGGGCGAGATGCTGATCACCCCGTACCGTCCCCACCCCCTTGGGTAGAGCCGTCGAAACGGTCTCGTGGGGCGGGACGGGCCAAAACACACCAAAGCCCGTCCTCGTAGCGGGACGGACTAAAAAGCCCGCCTCTTAGCGGGCTTGGAATGTGGCCGGCCTGCCCCGCCATACCAAAGCCCGCTGGCGGGGCAGGCTAGCCGCCAATCAATTTTTTCACTGTGTTAATTTAAAAAAAAATCATTGTACAATATCCTTAAAAAAAAAAAAAGAATCACTGTATAGACGTACAGTAACACTACCTAGTATTGTATTCCTCTATAATCCTATAAGTTATAACACACTAACACAATTACACAAACCAAAATAACATATATTAAATGCTAAATATATATACAAAATATATATGTATTAGCAAGTCGTGGGCTAAACCCATGACCCGCCCCGCCTGGACCCGTGACCCAGGCGGGACGGGCTAAAAAGCCCGCCTCCTGGCGGATCAAAATTTGAAGAACCTGTCCCCTACCTACGGCGGTACGGGACGGGTCGACCCGGCGGGTAAAATCCATTTTTGACGGCTCTACCCTTGGGGGGTATGAAATTTCAAACCTAAATGCTCCATCGAAATAAGTCCGCCCAACGCTGCCAGCCCAGGCCTCCCTAAGATGAGGTTATGGGCGCATACTATCCTCACTACGAGGAACTCCATGTCCACTTTTTTCACATGCGGGGGATTGCCAACTTCCACGGGGAGCACTATCGACCCTTCCGTCTCTATGGTGTCCCCAGTGAAACCAGCCATTGGCGTCCTCACCGGTCGGAGCTGGTCCTCGCTCAGTCCTAGCTTCATGAACACGTCGTGATACATCACGTTGACACTGCTGCCTGTATCCGCGAGCACGCACTTGACGCAGAACCCGTTGACCACCATGGCTACCACGAGTGCATCCTTCGGGGTAGTCTCCCGTGCTTGCAGGTCATTGTCTGAAAACCAAATCGGTTCCCGGCGGGGCCTTTTCAACTGGGGGTGTTCATCCACCGCACCTACATAACAGCCACCATCTACCTTCGAGGCCCCTCCTCCAAAGATGACATTGATCACTGGGCGCCTCCCCGGGCCTTCCCCGGAGTCAGTCGATTTTTCCTTAGCCTCCCCTGCAGGCCCAACCGTCGGGCGTTTAGTGTTCCTCGCAGCCAGCCGCTCCCAGTCTATGAAATTTGTTAACTTCCCTGCTTGTATGAGGAACTCTATCTCTTTTCTCCATGCCTGACAATCGTTGGTGGCGTGGCCGTAGCGGCGGTGAAATTTGCAATATCTCGTGGTGTCTGCACCCAGCGGGATCGGGTTGGGACCAAATGTTTTCACCAATTGACACTCCTCTGCATAGGCTAAGATATCGCTAGGTGGGGCGATAAGTGGGGTGAAAGGTGCGATCCGCGGGGCCGGTCGTGCTGCCGGGGGTGCTGACGTGGTTGCCCGCGCCGGGGCAGGCGCTGGCGGCGCCCACGGCGGGGGGGCTCGTGAACCCGCCGCGGGCCTTCCCCTCCCCCCGGGACTAACCTTCCTATCCTCCAGACTCTCCCGCGAGTAATTAGCTCCCTTCTTAAGACGTGGCGGTTCCTCGAGCCGTAGCTTCTTGCTGCTGCTGTGCTCTTCTATACGCTTCATGCGATTGGCTTCTTCAGCTTCGGCATACCGGTCTGCCTTCATCATCAAGGCTGCGTACGAGCCGGGGGCCTTTCGGCGGAGGCTCTTGTACAGTTCCCCAGCACGGAGAGCTGCAATGAACATGACCATTGCAGACCGGTCGTCCATGTCCTCCACTTCGGCTTCCTCCTTCCTCCACCGCGTGAGGAACTGGGTGAGGGTTTCATCCTCCCCTTGCTTAATGCTAGCGAGATGCGTGAAGTGCTTCTTGCGCCTCCTCCCCCTCAGGAAATGGGTAATGAACTTGGTGGCCAGGTCTTGGAACGAGCCTAGCGAACCGCCTTTCAGGTTCGTGAACCATCGCTGCGCTCCCCCTGACAGCATAGAGAAGAACGCGCGACACATCAGGGCGTCTGACGACCCATGAGCATCATAGCCGCCTGATATGTCAGGACGTGCTCCTGGGGATCACCTGTACCGTCATACCTCTTCATGTCAGGGGCTTTAAGGTTGGGGGGAAGAGGTTCGTTCATGATGTTGGGGGTGAAGGGCGGAGTGAGAGAGATCCGGGGGATCACGATGTGAGCGCCATGTTCCTTCCACCGCACCAACTCATCTATCTTGGTGTTAATCGCGTCCAGCCACTCCGCCGGGGGCTGGCTCGGGTCGCTGGCCCCGGGGGTCGATACGCGCTTTCGCCTTCGGCTTCCTCCAATCCGACCTCGCGGGCGTCAGCTCTTCGCGACCCTCGGCCACGTGGTACCACTATCGGGCCTACCGGGGGCTGTTCAGAGTGAATCACGTTGGCTCTCTCGCCATCCCCGCGTCTCCCGTCCTCGGCGCAAACCGAGGCGGGTGCTTCCTCCGACACCTCGCGGTCGGTGTTCCGCCCCTCTCCGCTGCGCGGGGGGTTAGGCGGGCGCTCTCCTGATGGGTTGACCATCTCGGCGTACCTCGGAATTCTGTTTAGAGTGGTAGAGACTACAAACACGGGCTAATCGTAGCGTATCCCCACAGACAGTGCCAATGATGGTTTTATTGGAACCGGGTCCACCATAAACCGGGTACAGGAGTACAGAACGGGGGTAGGGCGCTAGGCCCAACATGATACGTATAGAAGCCCGAGGTACAGGCCCAAGAACAGCGACCCAAATACAAAGAACAAGGCCCACAGGATGGGCTATTGCTAACTACGATATTGACAGGAATCGAACCCAGGTGACTGGATTGAGAGTATGAGACCAAGACCACTAGACTAGTGTGCCTGTCGTGTCTGAGTTGTCCCCTTGCTAGAGATCCAAGGCCCCTATTTATAGCAAGCCCCCCTCCTCCTCATGCGTCCACGTGTCCCATGCAATCCATCCCCACTTCCCCACTCTGCTTGCTTCTCGCCATTTACATCACGCTCTCCGTCTTTCTCGGCCCCTATTGCCTTTGTCATCTTACTCACACCAACCCCGACTCACCATGCTCGGCGAACCCACCCCCCCTGCATGCGGATGCCGCCCGAGACCAACACCCCGGGACGCTGGGACCGCGGTCGCACAGGACCGCGCGCCGGATGCCCCGAGTGCGCCACGGCCAACTGGCCATGGCCCCAGCGCGCCGGGCGCCAAGGCCACACTGGCCCGCGCTCCGGGCACGCTGGTCGCGCCGTGGCCGACTGGGGCCAGCGCCCCGGTCGGCGTCGCTATCTGGGGCCGGTTGTGGCTCCAGCACACGCTGGGCGCCGAGGCCACGCTGGCCCGCGCCCAGGGCGCGCTGGCCGTGCCACTGCCGACCAGGGCCAGCGCTCCGGGCGGTGTCGCTGTTCAGCCACCAGCGCCGGCCCCCGCCTGGGGCTGGCTGCGACCCCCCGCGCGCCGGGCTCCAAGGCCGCTCTGGCCCGCGCGCTGGCGCGTCGTGGCCGGCCGGGGCCAGTGCCCCGGTCGAAGTCCCGGTCTGGCCACCGGCGCCGAGTGGTGCCAGCGGCCCCTCCCGGCCTTCGGCCCAAATTTGTCGCCGAGTGGTTTTTTCTATTGTTTTCTGTCTATTCTAGTGTCCGCTAGCAGACTGTCATCTTCATCAATATCGCCATAACCCGATATTGGCCATTTTAACAACAGAAAGTAATTATCTGCTCAAAAGAGTTTGTTGTGTATATAGACAACAACGTCGAAAATGTGCTCGCAGTTATAGAGCTCCACATTATATGTTCTGCTTCGTCTGCTTGTACAGACTAATCTCTCTATCTCTTTAGCTCCCAATCAGTCTCACTCTACTTGTGTGTTAGTGTGTATATATGTTTATATTGCATTTTAGTGTGCCAGTAGAAACAAAAAGATGTCTATGCAAAGTTATTTAATTTGTTCTCCGTTTAGAATTTTATTTTAAAGAAATGTGCTTTAAGAAAAGAATATAATGGAACTTTAATTTAATTGATGATAGATTTAGATCTGCACATATGTATTTGTTTCCTCTCTCCTTCCTGCCCCCACCCTTTAATTATTTAATGTGTGATATTGTTTTGATCAGAGAGTTAAGGTATAATGCAGATAGATAGGGTTGCATTTTTCTATATACAAACATTTGTGTGATATTGTTGCATTTTTTTATTTAATATGTGATACCAAACAAAAAGATAGATACTCTACTTTTGTGTTTGTGTGTATATATGTTTCTATTGCATTTTTTTCTGTTTATTTATCATGTGGTCAGTTGTGGATATGTAAGTTTGGTATATTGATTATCTGATGTCTTTTCGGTTTTCGTTGTCAAAACTTGGCTGCTGAAATTTTTGAATTTATTGTTTTTATTCTTTTAGTTGGTTCACACACATACATGTTACTGTACCCTGGTGTGTGCATTTCTCAATTCGAATGTGTGCATAAACCTGACTTATGTAGGAAATAGACTTTTTGAATTGGGTGGGTGGTTGATATTCTCTTGTGTGTTGGTTGGTTGCTGCAGGTAAGAAATTCAAGGTATCACATTTAGAAGTTGGTGGTTTGGGGGTTTCTAATGATGACGATGATTTTGTGTTGCCACCTTTGACATTCCTTTCAAGACAGTAAGAAGACCCTGTGTGGAATGGCCCCGATTATGAACTCATTGTTGATGAGGCTACTAGGTTTCCTAGGGTGAAGCCAATGGCACCGTCTGAGATATTGGTTAAAGCGCTAAAGGACTTGTCCACTCAACAGAAGACTGGCATTCATGACCTTGGTTTTGGGTCGTTGTTGGAGTTTAAGGTTAATGATACCCCACCACGTCTTCTGCGTTGGTGCTCTCTAACTTTGATCCCCAGATGAGGACATTTGGTCTTGGTGATGGAAGGTCGCTGAAAAATATGAAGGAAATTGCAATCTCCGAGTTCAATCTGCATAGAAGTAGGAACCTCACACGGACGTTTCAGTTTATTTCTATTGTTTAGTGTTGCATTCATTAATATGCCTTATTTATGGTTTGCACATGTTTTGGGAGAACTATACTAGTTCTGGGTTAGGCTTACTATTGCCGTAGATTGATTACTTTTTGACTGATACAATATCCTACTACCTACTATACCTATTTCATTTTTTAGAACCATATTTATTACATTATGATACTTTTATTATTGTGGTTCAGTGTTTTAATCTGCTTCTGTAGATGTGCGTGGTGTTTTAAATGTACCCTTTGGCTTGTTGTTTTGGTGTGCACCACTTGGTACTGGGTAGTGCACACTGAATTAGCTATGTCAACCCGTGTGCACATCAGCTCTCAACTGAATACAGCACTTTGTGATTAGTGGATTACACACCCAACTACGATACAATACATGCACACATTTATATAGATAGATGTCGTTTACTTCCACGCTTCATTACCATTCCAAGTTCCAATGGATAGCTGAGCGCATCCACACCAAAGTAAATTTATGATTTTGCAATTTTGTCGAATACCCCACTCGTTCTACATGTGTGCACGCACTACCAAAACCATGTGCATACACTAGCGACAATAGTGTTGAATCTGTCAATTTTCTATTAATCTGTGCTCGTTATTTCAGAAAGGAGGAAAGGTGCATTAAGATATGTTTGTGTCATTAAGTAATTACCAATTATCAATATCATTTATATTGATTTACCATATCATTATTTGCTTTAGTTAATATAACATATTAATTATGGTAATGGTAATTATTTAGTTTATTATTACCATATTTATATTACCTAATTTAATATTTTATATTATTTTGACAAATGGTAAATATATGGTAATTGCTTGTTCTTGGATGATGCCTTTTAGTTTCCTCTTAATTTTAGCATTGAATTCATTATTAAATTATCATTCAATTTGGGCAAATATTAAGTTTTAATTTGCTATTTGAATTTTAATTTAATATTGAGGCTTATATTAAATTGCCTGAAGTATTGCAATTTATTTAGAGTTTATGGGTTATTAATATATTAATGTGCAGATCCAAGCATGTTGCGTATATTTATAATCGTTTTATTGTTATAATTATACATTTAGAAAAACATGCATTAAAGTTGGATTTAGTATATTATTAACTCATAAATTCTTTATTAAAATATCATTCAATTTTGGATCTTTAGGCAAATTTTGGATATTATGGTCTATTAAGGTAGCTTGTTTTTGTTTCCCATTAATTTTGAGCACATTTTAGTATTATGTGCCTCTGGGACTTTAGAACCTATTTTGAACAAGCTATTTGGGACCTATCTTGGGTCATTAAAGTATGGATCCCACCATTTTGATTGATATTTTAATAATAATTATAGCTCCTTATAACATGTTTATTAAGTTTTAATTATTACTAACTACCATATTTTGGTATTCATCGTTGGTAATAATATTAAGTTTGGGTCTATTTCAGTACTTTGACCATTTTTATTCATGTTATAATTCACTTGGGTCATTGAGGTTTATGAGCCTAATTTGAATGATTAAGTGCTATAATTATTGTCTCGGCCTGTTTAGAGACATTAAGGATTTAATTGTTATTTTGGCCATTAAGAACTATAACTATTGTTTAAGTTGATTAAATTTTTAATCTATCAATAGTTTTTCCAGGGTCTTAATAATATTAAGTCTTTAATTTTAGGGCAAACGCAATATAGTTGGTATATTGTCTGTATAGTGGTAATTTGGTTATTACCTTAACTTCAGTCTCCCTAAGTATCATAATAGTCCTGGTTAATTATTATGTGGTAAATTGAGATTAGTATTTTGCATCCCTTAATTACAGTTTTGCCTTCATTGTAATTATTATTAATTAGCATTATTAATTACTGTTATTAAGTTTAGGGGCTAATCTCATTTTATTACTTTTCATAATAATTATCATTTAATGGTAATCTGCTATATTTGGTACATTGGCATGATTACCACTTCATTTTATATGACTATTAATGTTGGTAATT